AATAATTAACTTTTTTATTAATTTAAAGTTATTAAAATAATAATATATGTTCTAAAGACTTTCAATCATTTGATAATAGAATATTTAAATATTCTGCAATCGTTAGTGCTCGAATCTTGACCTCTAAGGATAACAATCATTAATTTAATTACTGAAATAACTTGATTCGTGTAATGGTTAATTTTTTTAAGTGTAATTAAATTTATTTTCTTTTATATTTAAGTTCTAAAATATAATAGTAGAAGTATATGGGAATCATATTTATAATTTATCAAAATTTATCATTCTCACCAAATAATCAATAGTTATAAATAAACAATTTAAACAAAAAGTATAATTTTCACTATAGGATAAAATATTTTTCAATCTTTTAAATTTAATAATTTTTATTAAATTAATTTTAAATATTATTAGCTGGCACTAATCTCTAAATTTTTATAATTTTTAATTATTCTCGTAATATGACATTTTAAAAATATATAGTGTGACTTAATGTCGAAATATCACATCATTAAAAAGAATAAAAGTTGTTAAATTAATCAATAATAAGTGATTATGGGATTTGTTATTCTTCGTAGAACTATGTTTAAATTATCAATTTAACTTATATGTTATGTCATCCGTCACATCATCGACCACCGTTGATCATCACATCAATACACCGTAATGGTTAACGACGAAAACTGTTGGTTAAAAACCTATATTGGGTTTAGTTTCTAAGTTAGAATGTCACATTGAGAGAAAATATAATACGAGCGATATATTATTTTTTTCTAGAAGTACAGGGACATAATGCAATTTTGCCTAAATTTGGAAGATATTTGTTTTGAATTAATGTATCATATGAAAATTTTGAAAGTCAACGCGTATGACCATTTCTCCTTGGTACCAAGCTAATGAACATTGACCAAAGACCAATGAAGAGTAAGGTCAAATTCCATTAAGGAGCTGTTTAGATGGGGAAAAGTATAATTTTTCATTATAGGATAAAATATTTGTTAATCTTTAAATTTAATAATTTTTATTAATTTAATTTTAAATTTTATTAGTTGTCATTAATCTTTAAATTTTATAATTTTTTATTATTATTCTCGTAATATAACATTTTAAAAATATATTGTGACTTAATGTCGAAATATCACATATTTAAAAAGAAAAAAAATTGTTAAATTAATCAATAATAAGTAATTATGGGATTTGTTATTCTCCCTAGAGCTATGTTTGAGTTATTAATTTATCACATCTATTATGTCATCTGTCACGTCATCAATCACTGCGGACTACCACGTCAGTATCGTATATTGTCACATCAGTATAGTGAATTGTCACGTCAACGTTGTAACGGTCAACGACGAAAAACGTTGGATCAAAGAGTTATATTGAACTTATTTTCTGAGTTGGAGGCGCACATTAAGAGAAAATATAATACGAGCACGTTAATTTTCTAAAAGTATAAGGCATCTAATGCATTTTTGCCTAAATTTGGAAGATATTTAATTTGAATTAATGTATCATGTGAAAACTTTGAAAGTCAACGCGTATGGTGAGAAGGCGCTGACCATTTCTCCTTGGTACCAAGCTAATGGGCATTGACCATAGACCAATGAAGAGTAAGGTCAAATTCCATTAAGGACATACATCGTTTAAATAAAGGAAAATAACTCCTTTTTTTTTACTTTTTTAATAGGATAAAATATAAAAAAAAATTGATTTAAAATACATTTATAACAATAATTTGAAAAAAAATATTGATCCTAAAACTATTTTAATTGATGTTAAATCAAATTATAAATTCATTATATTCTAGGGTAAATTACGCGTTTAATATATAAACTATCATTTTTAATCTGTTTTAGTACTTAAATTTTTAATTTTTTTTAAATATATCTATTGTTTAATTTTTGTTTCATTTTAGTATCACTGTTCAAAATTTACGGTTAAATTCTGAATTTTTAAAAAAAAATTAGGTGCTACAATGATTCAAAATTGATAGTTTAGGTACTAAACACGTTAAGTTTATAACATTGTGGTACTAAAACGAAACAAAAACTAAACGTTATGTATGGTTTTGAAAATGCATAATGCAATAAAATAACCTAATGTTTGACAGTAGTGTCAAATATATCCGTATCACTTTTTTGACAAATTCGTCCACTCAACGTTTAATTTTAGATAAAAAAAAATCACCCTCGGTGGATGGAAACCGTCAATCAACTGACGGTCAATGTCTGATGCTGACCAAGCATGTACACATGGACGTGAATGCCGACGTGGCGTGTCCATGCCATAGCTCATCGTGACGTGGCATTGCCACGTCAGAATTTTTGAGAATAAAATAAATAATGGTACAATGTATCTTCTTCCATGCAAAGGTTCAATGCACTGTATGCACCAATAGTGCATGAAAGTTACATTTGAGGCAATGATCTTTTCAATAATTCAGTCTGATTCATAACCATTGAACAATAGTGCTCCAATAGAAGCTGTCAATTCTGAGGTTGAAATGGTTGTAGGCGAGGTTGAGACGTCGGAGTCCATGCAGGCGAAAAAGGCCATCGAGAGTGCCATTGATATCGTTGTAGCTCAGGTCAAGCCGTCGAATGCTGTGGAGGCGAAAGAGGCTGTCGTTTGCACTTGCCAATAGAGGACCGGTAATGCAACTGTGACTAAGATCGATGCCGATTACATGGCCGGTGAGGCTGTCGCATTCGACTCCATCCCATGAACAACAACCAGTGCTTCTGTTCCAAGACTCTGTCTTGGGGTAAAGATTATAGTAATCATCCCCACAGAAATCACTTAGAGAAACGTCGTCTTTAAATCGGAGCAAAGCGGCTCTCTGGTCCGGGAGACATAAATGAGAGGATGGATGGGGAACAGAGGAAGACAAACTCCATGAAAGATGCAACAAGATGAGGAGGCTCTGTCTGGGAAGTAAGAAGCCCCTTTGACATCTCTTCATCTGCAAAGAATTATCGGTGTGAAAACACAGCCCTATCCCGATTTGAATATATTAATATTTTAAAATAATACATTTATAATTATTTATTATAATTTAAATAGTAAAAATAATATATTTTTCTTAAACCTGACTTGATTTAAATATAGATATAAAAGAATAAATTAATAATTTATACTGAGTTGGATCGAGTCATTTTAGTGTGCTTCTATTTTTATTGTTCTGACCTTCATTTTATTATAAGATAAATATTAGTTAATATAAACATGAGAAATTGATCTTGGAGTAATGGTTGAGGCTGTTGCCTATCATCCAAGAGGCCCAAGTTTGATTCTCCTTCATAATATTATTTCAATTTATTTTTTCTTTTATTAAATGATGTCACGTCTCATTATCTTACTGAAGAAATAAATATTTAAATTAAATATAAATTAAATTAATAAAAATCCTTCAATAATATCGTGATATGTGTCCTTATATGATTGGAGAATTAAATATATTGAATTAATTTAAAATTATAATCAATTTGATAGATTATGTAAGTAATAAGAACCAAATGTAAATTATATAAATTTTATTAACTGTCATGTCATCAATTCCGTTAACTGTTAATAATTAGTTGTCTGATTAAATATATTTAAATAGTTAAATGATCTGATTGACAAGAATTCAAAAAGAGAAAATAACCTCATTGACCAAAAATGCTTTATAATATACGATTTTAACTAATTTTTTTTGGATTTGCCAAAATGACCAACTAAATCGTAATGCGATCGATAATTCGCAACGCGATCTCCGGTATCGCAAATTAGTTTTCATATTCGCAACGCGAACTTCGACTATCGCAACGCGAACTTGGACTATCGCAATGCGAACTTGCGAACTTGGACTATCGCAATGCGAATATGTAAATCGCAATGCGATAGTCGACTACCGCAATGCGAATATGTAAATCGCAATGCGATAGTCAAAGTTCGCGTTGCGATAGTCGAAGTTTGCATTGCGATAGTCGACTATCGCATTGCGATAGTTGAAGTTCGCGTTGCGATTTATTCCAAATTCGTTGCGATAGTCCAAAATCGCAATGATTGGGTGGTATTGCATTTGTTTCTTAAGAATTTTCTCTAAAAAGATAGTATTCGCGCGGACGTGTCGAAGACACGTATTACTACAACCACGACCACGACCCGAGATGATACGAGACGAGACGGACGGCGACTGCGGCGGCGCGCGAGAGTCCCCCTTGTTCTCTATCACTCAACAAGGAAGTGGGAAAGCCAAACCTTAAATACTATTCCCAATAGTGTTTCCAATACTATGTGGGATTGAGCATTACCAACACTTGTTTCTAATACAATGTGATTATTCAGGAAACAATTAACAATCATACACCTTAAAACAACTAAATCAACAACCAATTGCATTAGTATTATACGATTAAATATGTCATAATTAAAAGTCAATCTACAATCAATCGCGATTATTGTAATTTTAAGCAAAACATTCAAAAATAATATCACTATTTAAGGCTTAATCTCACATAGTATTAGGAACAAGTGTTAGTAATGCTCAATCCCACATAGTATTGGAAATACTATTGAAAATGGTATTTAATGCTTGGCTTTCCCACTTCCTTGTTGAGTGATAAAGAATAAGGGGGACTCTCGCGCGCCGCCGCCGCCGCCGTTCGTCTCGTCTCGGGTCGTGGTCAAAGTTCGCATTGCGAATCTGGAAACTGATTTGCGATACCGGAGATCGCGTTGCGAATTATCGATCGCATTACGATTTAGTTGATCATTTTGACAAATCTAAAAAAATTTGATTAAAATCATATATTAGAAGGTATTTTTAATCACGAGATTATTTTCTCATTCAAAAATAACGATCGAAGTGGAAAGGGTTATAGTCTCTATTCGTTTATTACTCCAAAATAAATAGTATCTGTTTCCATTTATTTATTGCTTTCATTTTTGCAGAAATATTATTAATAAGCAGAAAGGAGCAGATAAAAAAGGCTTTTTTAATCACACAACCAACCCCAACGTCTTCCTCTCATGGATTCTCTCCCTCTGGCTGCTGATTTTCATCCCTCTTTTCTTGGTAGAAATTCATTGTTTTACTGCTAGTTTTTGTTTTGATTGTAGTGATTTTCTTTAATTAAAAGTTTCTCCTTTTTCTTTTTGTTTTTCCAGGCTTCAAAAAGTTGGGGTTTTGATGATAATGTGGGTTTAGTCCTATTGCCATGGATTCATCTTTTGATGGTACCTTTCCCCCCTTCTCTGTTTGGGTTTTACGAGTGATACATAATCTGGGTTTCAGTGATCGTTTGTTGGTCAGCTGTTATTGCCATGGATTCCTCTTTTGAAGGTATTTTCTTCTTCTCTTTCTTGGGTTTTCTTAGTGATATGTGTTTTTGGATTGAATATTGTGTTTTGCTTTTTTGGTTTTTAGTTTATCGAAGATTTTGGATCTTTTGCATGCTGGGTTTGTCTGCACACAGGGATAGATCGAGGGGCGAACCATCGAAAAATTTTAAATTCTCATATAATTTAAATATTTTTTTACTTTATATTAATAATTTGTATTCGAACTCTAAAATTTTATAAGATCGTCGACATAAAATTCTATGTCTGTCTCTTTCTGCTCACCAGAAAAGATTTTCACTCCAAACCATAGTACTAAATTGCGGTTGCGATGCGGTTGTTACATTGCATTGCGGCCGCAATTTAATACTATGCTCTAGACATAGTTTTCAGCTGAACCATGTTCTTGGTGGATATCTGGGATCCTCTTGTCTTTTGATCTTCTTCATCATTCTAATTTATGAATTTCTTGCAAGTTCACTGTGGTGAACTGGTGGATGAATCTGACCGTTATTTGCTTTCATCGTGGATGATGATGCAAGTCGTGCCATTTCTTTACATGTTATTAATGCATTATATAGATGTATCATGTGTCACTCGGACTCCGGTGTGTCTGTACAGGGTAGGACTATGTGCCCTGCACCGATTATCTTCGATTATTTTCGTTAATTCTCCCGTGTATTTGGACGATCCTAGGAGTGTCTTTGACCCCATACCCTTCCCCGTGTATGCATGTATGTATAAATATGAAAGATCGTAGGTTTTCAAATGTAAAATGGCATTGTGTTTATCCCTTACTTGTACTAGCTATGATTTGTTTTTATGTCCACTTGTGATGTAAACATCCATGGAGTTCGGTGTAGTTTGGTTAATTTTATGCTTCCTTTTGCTTTAGGTGTTGCACTCGATCCGTCAAAATGTGGTAAATTGAGCATGGATGAAAAGAGAGAGCTCGTAAATGAGTTATCGAAGAGGACAGGTAGAGCCTCTGCAATGCTACAATCGTGGAGCCGTCAGGAGATTTTACAGGTCCTTTGTGCCGAGATGGGGAAGGAAACGAAATATACTGGTTTGACTAAGCTGAAAATGATCGAAAACCTTTTGAAAATTGTAGCTGAAAAGAATTCAGGGGTTCAAGAAGGTGTAACAGATCCCGAATCGCATTCGTACCCAACAGGTGGTCAGAGAACAGCCAAAAGGCAGAGGAAAGCTGATTATCCTTCCCGACTGCCCATTCCTGTGAATGATCCCGGTATTGGTAATGGTGGCAATGACAAGATCAATGCTGTTTATTGCAAAAACTCGGCTTGCAAAGCTACATTGAGACAAGATGATGCATTTTGCAAAAGGTGTTCCTGCTGCATCTGTTACAAGTTCGATGACAACAAGGATCCTAGTCTATGGTTAATTTGCAGCTCGGAACCTCCTTTCCCAGGAAATTCTTGTGGCATGTCATGTCATCTCGAGTGCGCATTAAAACACGAAAAGTCCGGCATTGGAAAAGATAAACGGCATGCTGTTCCTGATGGGAGCTATTATTGTGTAGCGTGCGGGAAAGTAAATGATTTACTCGGGTAAATACTCCATGTTCTCTCTTTCTCACCCATAAAAAGGAACTATGTATATATGTATTATCGACTACTAGTGTATATATACTTGAGTGTTTACTATTAATGTCGATATAGTCTGATGGATGAGTTCGTTTATTCATTTAGGTGCTGGAGAAAACAAATGATGGCTGCAAAAGATACGAGGAGGGTGGACATTCTTTGTTATCGTGTCTCTTTAGGTCAGAAACTTCTAAATAGCACTGAAAAATACCGTAAGCTTTCAGAGATTGTTGATGAAGCCGTTAAGAAGCTTGAAGCTGAGGTCAGTCCGTTACCTGGTTTGCCGGTGAAGATAGGTAGGGGTATCGTCAACAGGCTATCTTCAGGACCCGAAGTTCAGAAACTCTGTTCTTCTGCAGTGGAATTTATGGACAAAATGCTTTTCGATACTATATCACATTCTTCACCAAATCATTCAGTACCAGGTAATGTCTAGTTTGTAACACGGTTGAATGCGTTTCTGTAATCTCGGAGATGTGTATCTTTCTTTAATTTCGAATTGTCGAAGTAATTTTCGATTGGATTTCGTTTTATTGATTTATGTATACTATCATCTCATCCTTTTTCAGCAAGTTCATGTTCGATTTCTCCAGCAATTGTACGCTTTGAAGAAGTAAGTCCAACTTCCGTTACTGTGATTGTGGATTCTGAAGAACCTTTACGGAGCAGTATTATCGCTTACCGTTTATGGCATCGGAAGGCGTGCGACCAGGATTACCCTGGTGAATCAACTTGTACCATGTTTGTTCCGAACACAAGGTTTGTTGTCACGGGGTTGACTCCGGCTACGGAATATCTTGTCAAACTTGTGTCGTTTAATGGTACGAGAGAGTTCGGTCCATGGGAAGTTCTGCTTTCGACAAGCTGTTGTGGGAATGAAGTCCCAAGCTGCTCAATGGTGGAAAGAAGTCAAAGCCCAGCAACCAATTGTAGCAGCCTTTCGAATCCGTCTTCAGTGGAGGATGAAACTAATAACATTACTCCGTACATCGATCAAAATGATGACCGGGCAGACACTGTCAACTGCACTGTCCTTGGTGAAGATAGAATTCCAGCGGAAGCAGTTCCGATGTTGAGTGAGGAACGCATGACGGAGATAGATAGTCCTATTCTTGATGTTGATCCACTAAATGTTGATAAAAAGCACACATCGGATGACCAGATTACTGAGGAGACAAGCACCGATAATGACTCCGATGCCCCAGATGAGACTGGTACGAACCGTTTACCGTCTGTCGGTTGCTCAGAAGGTGGATTGCCCATTACTCCCTGCAGGATGGAAATAATTAAAACTGGACAAGGAAGAAGTGGGAGATCAAAATCCAGTAAGAAGGACGTTGAGAATGTGACCAGGAAAGGAGACGGTCCTCAAGACGGATTTCGAGCATTACGTGAAGGTGATCAGATGGTTAGAATGTAAGGGACACATCGAGAAGAACTTCAGGCTTTTGCATGAAACTTTGGCATTGACATGAATACGGATCATTTACCAAGGTTGATGTCAACAATGGTTCTTTAGACCCATAGCGTTCTTCATTAAGATTCTCAAAGTCTCACAATGGTTTTTTACATTTCACCATTTGCTGCTTTTGTGATTGTTATGATAATGTAAGAATCCCAGAATTCTCTTACCCTTTCAAAGTTGTTCCAATGTTGTTTCCATTTCGTAAATATACATACGTTATATATATTCGAATTCGGGTCCCGGCTATTTCGGTCAAACTCCACCGGATGAATGCGTGCGATACTCCTCTGGTATGTGTGATGTCTAAATGTGTCCCTGTTCTCCCCTTCGTTTGCATTCCTGGTCATCTTAAGAGAACCCGGTTTTCTCGGTCTGAAAAACATGAAATAAGATTATCGTCGCGATTATCGTACCCATATATACTGAAATACATGAATGAGAAACTTGGGCAGCAAAATAATGCTTTTAATAAAATAACCACACAAAAGTGTCTTCCACAGTTTACAGCAATCCCAATGCCTGGAGATTGAATTTAGTAAGAGATTACGCAACCCCAACCCTAATACGCAAAAACAAGCTCAGTTGGCTACTTTAGCAGAAGCAAGAGAATCACACACAACTCGATCCGATCCCGAGAAGTCAACTAAGTTCCCTACACGAATCCTAATGTCTTTCCGCTGCATCAACCATCCTCACTCGGTGCAAGGTCCGCAGACACAGGAAACCCCCCGACAAATTAAAATTCGAAACATGTGCATTACAAATACAAATAAGCTTGAGATAACGTTAGAAACAGAAAACGACAGGGACGTCGGATTTGTTTTTTAGTTACCGGAACAAGAAGTATGCTACACACTTTGTATTTTGCTTGATATATCTTTTACATTCACACCTTCCTTCTCCTGCAATAGAAAGGATTCTAAATGTTAAACGACCGAAGCATCGTGTAGGTGCGACGGAAACAACGAGGAGTAAACTCAACATGGTGAAAACAATAACATGAACAGCTTTTCACATCAAAACATCGGTTTCGTTCGTGGCGCATCTCCTATATATAACTAGAAGCAATGTGCTACAATAGACTCAATCACCTATAGACATTAAACCAATCGAGTAAAATCATATAGTAATTCGAGTAGTACTTCGAAACCATGTTACTTCGGTTCGGGTAATAGTGTCGGATAGGATACGAGTCCGAGCATGTCGAATGCTAAGTGTTTGTTAGTATTATAATGCAAGCAACATCATTGTTTATAAACAAAAGAAGCAATTGCTTATAAGCTACTTTCACAAGTAACTTCAGCAGTACTTTGATTTCACCAAACGTCGCTTAAAAGTTATGAACTGGAGCTTGAAACTTAAATTTTCCCGAGAAAATGCATCTTCAAAAGTATTTAAACAAAAATTTTCCCGAGAAAATGAATCAAAATCATCAAAAGATTAATGTATAAACAGTTACCAATCCCTTGCTCTCATAATAATCGTCCAATGCCCATTGATACTTAGATTGATTTAAACCGAACCAACGAGCTAAACGATCATCCAAGCTTGAATGAGCTGCAAAAAGAGAGAGAAAACAGTGATTCTTTTCTTCATTGTTCAACAAAATGAATCAAATATGAACATAATTGAGCAGTTTCTTAAGCTTCAATAAACAAACCCATTTCGTTTCAGTTCCAAACATTAATTATTTTCATCATTAAAACCCAGAGAATTCTTTCTAATTAAGAGAGAGAGAGACTAAAAAGTAGGTATACCGTTTTGGAGTTTAAATGCAGCGTTTTTGAAGAAACCCTGAAAGGATCCATCGGAATATGATTCAGAAGCAAGAAGAGACTTGTCAAACTGCTGGGGCGGCGGTTGGACGGGAGGAGGAGTGGGAGTAGAAGACGGCGGCGCCGCAGCCTTGGAGGGGGATCGGAAAACAGGTGGTTCGGTAGGAGAAGGGGTGGAAGGACGGGTGATGAAGACGGTGTAAGGGCCGATCTTTCCGATCGACGGCGCCGGGATCGACGGATCTCTTTTGATCGGCATTTTGAAGAAGATAGGAAAGAGTGGAAGTGTCTGAAAGTAAAGCTGAGAAGAAGAAGAGTGTCACTGTCACGAAACCCAAGTGGGGAAGGAGAGGTGATGTATAACCGACCTTTACTTTTTCTCCTATTTTATTTCATTATATTTTAAATTTTTTTTATTTACTCATTGAATTTAATACATTAATATTTTTTTAATTACTCAACCGTTAAATATTTAATGACGTTCAAATAAACTGTTATATAGATACAAAACGAAATCATTTTAGTAAAAATATTATTTTTTTAAAATAATATTATTTTTAATACTGTTAATTATTTAACGGTAAAGTGACTAAAACAGGAGATATGACCAAAAAACCCAATACATTAAGTTTAATGAGAAATTTAAAATTTTTTAAAGTTTAATGAGAAAAATAGGAGAGAGAATAAAGTTCAGTGATGAAATTTGTAATTTACTCTTTCATTTATTGTACTTTTTACTATTTATGATATCTCGTTTAATTCTTAATTTAGTCCTTCCATTTTCTAATAATGAAAAAGATAGCTATCGATTAATTCGGGCCAGTAAAGATCGAAATATCCAATCTTTAAATATTGACAAAATCAGTCGATTAGCGAATCAAAGAAAAAAATTCAAATAGCGATCGTCGAAGTTTTTTTTTAAGTAGAGATATTTTTATAATGTGTCGGAGAAAATGATCGTACGATACGATATCTTCTACATATATGGAGATTAAAAGACGTTACATCATCTAAATGTCTCTCAAAAAAATATCATGTCATCATATCGTTTTCAAAAGAATGTTATGTTATCCGACCGTCTTCTTTAATGACCGTTAAAAGATCCCTACTTAAGAAATAAAAAAAAATTCATCACAATACACTTTAAAAAAAACACTGCCTTAACTATACAAGTCCGTTACATGTTGAATAATAAAAGTACAATTTTGATTAAATAAAAACTCTTTTTCCCCTTTATTTTTATAATTAAAAAGACAGTAAAAGTTTTTTAATTATATCTTTTTTATGCCAAAGATAATGAACCAATCAAATTGGAGAACAAAGCTAGAGACGAGATGAGACAGGTTGTGAACTACTTAAGATCAATTCGGTCAAATCTCGATAAATACTTGATTTGAATAGAATCAACTCGAGTTCTTAACGAGCCGAAATGAGCTACTTGGTACTCGTTTTGAAAAGTTCAAAAGCAACTCGAAAATATAATATATTAAGATTTTATTATTTAAAAATATATTATTAATAATATTAACATTTATGTGTTAATCTTTTAAAAAATGCAATATAAAAGTTTTATATATTTAAAGTTTAGGTTCGAGTTTAAATTTGATGCTTAAATCGAGTTAAGTTTTAGATTTTTTTTTTCATTTTGAGCTTTTAAGAGCTTCAATTCATGGTTTCGAGTTCGACTCGAGTTTGAAAATTTTAAGCTCGTAAATTTTCGAGCTAAGTCAAACTCTATTTTAGAGTTTTCGAGTCAAACCGAACTCAGTAATACTCGAATTCGACTCGGTTCGTTTACCGCCCTAATTGAGATAGCTTAAAATTCCCGGTTAAAAAATAAAAGTTTCACAAAAAAAAGATTAAAGCAACGGGTTAGGCAAAACTCATGATATATTGTTGTGAAAAAAACAATTCACGTGATAATGTTGTCCAATAAATAATTGTTCAAATGGTGTGAATTATATAGTGCATGGATTGGTCGCCATGCAAGCCAGACGAGATCATAGGTCGCCATACACTCGGTGCGACCTTGTAGGTCGCCATGCAAGCGGCTCGAACTCCTCTGTGATTCTGCTGAAATCACGACAAAGGTGGCTCTGCCTCCCTCACCCCTGTCTCCCTCATGCATGCAACAATGAAATCACGACAAAAGTGTTCTATACGAGCTGTGACGAGAGGATGAAGCTTTGCTACGAGCTGTGGTGAGAGGATGAAGCTTTGCATGCGCCATGCACGTCGGAAGAGGTCGCCTGCATGTAGTGGGGAGCAGGCGAGCATATAGCGGGGAGGAGGGCGTAGGACAAGGTCGTCCACCGTGCATGGCGACCTACCATGTCGCCTGGCGTGCATGGCGACCTACAAGGTCGCCCGGAGGACATGGCGACCTATGCTGGGAAGCTGCCACACCGTAGGTCGCCCGGAAGACATGACGACCTACGGCCAACACTGTGCAATTCGCCCTATTTGAACAATTAATCTTTGGAGTACGTTATATAGTGAAATAAAAAATTCGAGAACATTATCTCCAGAGTTTTGCCCAACGGGTTACTACAAACATGGTTCCTCCTCACTTAAATCCATTGTGAACACATCACTAGAACGAAACCGGAGAGGACCGCTCTTAGCAAGACCTCCGAACATCAATATTTTCCGACCACCATATACCGACAGTGTGTGGCCCAGACGAGAAGGTGGGGTCCATGCTACCGGTATCTCTCTCCAGACAGGTTTTTCCATTGAAAGATCAAGCAGGAAAGTGTCACTAAGAAGTACTCCCGAGTCTGCACAACCACCGGAAACTATGAGCTTGGTTCCATCGAGAGTGCAGGAACTGTGCCATGATCTAGGAAGTGGAGGAGCCAATCCCGAGATGTCTCGCCAGGTCGGAGGCCTTGCATCCAAATCGAGAACGAAAACATCGTTGAGCAGACCCTGCCTTCCACAGCCACCGAATAACACCAGATGAGACCCATTCACACAAGAAAGCGTATGACCCCAACGACCAGGTGGAGGAGAGCTCACCTGGACATGTTGCCACTCCGGGTTGTTGGAATTTAGATCCAATACAAAGGTGTCATTCATTGGTTGCATATTTACTCCTTCACCACCAACAAGTACGACTCGATTCCCGACAGCACAAGCGCTGAAGTTGCACCTTGAAGGCTCAGTCCCCCCAACAGTAAGCTTTCTCCATGCAGCTGCCTCAAGAGTTGTCAATTCCCTTGCCAGCCTACCCCACCCAAGTCTCTTTGCACCAGGAACAGTCTCTAAAAGACGTGTAGTTTCGCAACCCCATGCATTTTGACAGACCATCCGCCAAAGGTCCTCGTTTTTTGTCAGGTCGTTTAGTCGCCAACAGACGGAACCGACAGAAGCAATGTCTCTCGGAGTCAGTAATGAAAGTATATTGAGAGACAATACCTCATCACTCAATTGCAGTATCCCACAAAACCCACGGCAGACATTTCGGTCCCCAACTACTACAGGCTGAAAAGCAGAAAAACCAGAGCAAGAACGGTCCGATGGCTTCCTAGATTGCTTTATTGAAGATCCAGGCACTGGACCCAGATCAATGTCGTCTACCAAGGAGTCTACCAAAGGATGTCGTCTTTTTGCAAACGGCCCTCTATACTGTAAGCAGGAACAATAAACAAAAAAGTTCACAATGATCCATTTTAAAAACTCAATCAGAAACATTGAACATTTAAATTTTGGGTAAACTATGCATTTAGTACCTAAATTATTAGTTTTGATCCGTTTTAGTACCTAAACTTTCAAAAAAAATTAAAATCGTACCTAACGTTTAGTTTTTGTTTCATTTTAGTACCCACCATTAAAAACATAACCCATTTAGTACCTAAACTATCAGTTTTTATCCGTTTTAGCACCTAAACTTTGAATTCTTTGTGAGATCACATGGATGTAATCAATTTTCTTTCAGTTTTCCCATGCCTTTAGAGGGCGATATCCCCTACCCATATCCCATTATGTAGCAGGAAAATTAACACTTCCTATCTTGAATATTGTTATACCTCCGGAGATACAGTTCCCCGTCCACCTACTAAGATCACCTCCGGAGAGACCCTCTCACAAAGGAAGCCCTTCAGCCAACCAAAAAGACAAGACCTTTGGTAAACCTAAGAAATTTATCAGAACCAAATCTAACGACTGACGATTGCATTTATATACTTTGTTAGTCCACATCTAGATAATGATGATTAGGGATGGCAAACGGGTATAGTTTTGTGGATTCCGCAACGCACCCGCTCCAATTGGGACGAGGATGGGTATAATTTTAGCGGGTAGTGGGCGGGTGTGGATTTAGAGAGTGATACCCGTTACGGGTAGTGGGCGGGTAATGGGTTTAAGACATTACCCACCCGGCATCCGCCCGCCCGCCCACTCACTTTCTATTATATATGTAGGTAGTAGTGAATTTAAATTAAAGCGCTCTCAATTGGAGGAAATAGAGAATGATGATTGTAATATTGGAGTATCAGATGTCACAAGTATTGCTTGAAATTTTAGAATGTTTTGCCAAAGAACAAAAACATTATGTGTTTGTCATTTATGTTTCTAAACTTTAATTATGTCTTTTATTATGGTGTTTTATGTACTTTAAGATCTATATTAACATTTAACTCAAATAATCATTGGATTATTTTATTATGTTTCTTAATGGACATGTTTTTTTTATGTTTGTTGCTTATATATAACTTAAGTTTGCTTTCAGGCGGGTCTAAATGGGTACGTCGCTAGTGGGTAGTGGGTGTGGGGATGGATTTGAGAATGTACCTGCGTGGACGGGTGTGGATTTGAAAATTTGTACCCATCATGGGTGGTGGACGGGTGGTAGATTGAAAAATATTAGGTGAGTATGGGGAGGGTATGCGCACCCGACCCGCCCATTTGCCATCCCTAATGATGATCCCCTAAGTCTAACACCGAAATGCATTCAGAGTCCATATATAGATACCCATGCACCACCAAGACGTAATAAACAAAAAAAGAAGAGAAAAATTCAACAAGGGTTTTCATTATCCACTAAATTCCACAACCTAGAGACCAAAAAAGGGGAAATTTGATAGTGTAGAGTAGTGGGAAAAAACATTTCCCCTTATAAGGCATCCACCATTTTATTTTTTAATATAAGATCCGTCCATTAACAGCCTAAAACTTGTGATACATCGTAGGACTCAAAAATATTTCCCCTTATAAAAATATTTTAGGGATCTCACTAAAAAAGTAATAGAGAGCCTTCACATCTTTTTTGACGGACGGGGAGGACGCCGAAAACATTATCCGATTTCAGTTTTTCCATGTGTATTCCACCAAAAAATTGAAGTGGTATGGTGTTTATGACGTCCTCCCCTCGAAAAAAAATGAACAGCATGTTATTTGTCTCTGATGTGCTCATGTTGATGGTAATAGTAATATTAATAAATAAGCCAAAGTTGACTCCTAAGCTCCATGGCTCAATGACGGTAGAAAGGTCGATAAAATAGGCATAATGTAAAAAATAGCCCCTAATATTTATCAAAATTATCGTTTTGGTCTACATTATTTTTTTAGAACATTTTAACTCTCAACGTTTCACTTTAAGGCAAAAAACTACATCTATAGATGAAAACTATTAAATATTACATAATTAATGCTCCAAAATAGGAACATTTTTAACCAAAAATGAAACGTTGAGGGCTAAAATATAAAAAAAAGACAAAAGTGATTATTCTATCAAATGTTAAGGACCTTTTTGCCCAAAAATAAAACGTTGGAAGCCAAAATGCTCCAAAAAATAAAATTTGAGGCAAAATGAACACTTTAGTAAACGTTTGGGGCTACTTTTGACATCATGCCTAATCTTAAGTACTACTCAAAAATAGATCAAGGATGATCAGTGTTATCGATTTCTTAAAAAATTTAAATTATAATATATTTTAGATTTTTTAATATTTTTATTAATAAATTTTTTTCGTCTTTATAAAATTTTATAAAGTCATTATCATAAAAAAGTTCATATATAAAATTAAAGCAAAAGAAATTATACGATATCAAAAAAATTAAATATAATTCATATATTATATATTAGAAATATATTTAATTTAAATTATTTTTAGCAGCATGGTCTCTCCCATAATAAACGTAGTTCTCTCATTGATTTCACTTGTATAAATATCTAATTTTAATATCAGTATATAAAATAATTAATTCTCTTTTTAACCCAAATAATTATTTTAAGAAATAAAATAAAATAAAAGTTTGATAGAGGTAGAAGAAGACTTTGCAGCAAATTAAATAAAGGGTAAAGTATACAAATGAAACTCGATTATAGGGTATTATTTTATTAAGTCTCTCGACTATTAAAAGTTACAAAATGGCTACTCGACTATTTATTATGTTCCAAACTAGTCATTTTCCATTAAAAAATTAATAGTGTTCTGAGTTGAACTTTAACCTGCTGACTGTGAAATGATAAAACTTGATCTTAGAATCACAAAGACAATTATATCTCGGTCATCATGTTTATGTCCAACTTAGACGACCGCCAATATTTTAACGAAAATGACGAGTTTGGAACATAGTAAATAGTCAGGTGATCATTTTGTAACTTTTAATAATCGAGGGACATAACAACGTAATATTTTATAATCAGGGACCATTTATGTATTTTACCCTTAAATAAATTAAGATATATTAATGTATACTAAACTTCACATCCAATTATATCAGCAACATGAAGTCAACCTATTGGTTCTATCATTATCATCAATAAGTATATAAAATATAATAATAATAATAATAATAATAATAATAATAATTAATAATAATAATAATAATAAATCCCTTCATATTTTGACTTTGCTTCCTTAAAAAATTATAAGAAAAAAGAAATATTCTCAATTTCCAATTAAGCAGCAGCCAGTGTGAGTGCAAGCTCACAACCCACGCCTGGCAAAATAATAAATGTTAATTATTGACATTTTTCTAGGGCAAAAATGATTTCACATTTGAGAGGAATAACAAATACATCATTATTTCACAATTTATTTTGTAAGAATATAGTACGAATCAAACTATTTTAGTGATTAAAAATGTAGTTGTTATATCAATATGCATTGGTTCAAGTGGTAACCAGCTCGATAACGCTTAAGTAAAGTCTCAGGTTCGAGTCTTTGTGTATGCAGAAAATCTCCACTGGGAGACTTACCCACCAAAACCAGGTATACGACCCGGGTTGATCCAGATTAGTCAGAGTGAAGCCTTGGAACTGAAGGACAATAAAAAAGGTAGTTATTATCCTTAAAGGTTACAAGTTCGGGGAAGTCGTCTGTAGAGGTGTTTGAACATTTTATGTCAAATAACTTAGAGTCTTTCGAACATGTATTATCTTGTAACCAACCTAAAATAATCAAAAAAAAAAATTGTAAGAACAATAACATTATACAAATTTGTTAAAATTTACTACGGTCATGTGTAGGGATGAGCATGGGACCTGAAACCGACGGGTTCCGACTCGACCCGATCCGATCGAATTTTTTAAGATTCGATCGGTTTTTTTTAATTTGGGTTCAGGTTGGGTCCAGCCGAGTTTTTTAAAGGTGATTTTCGGGTCAGGTGGGATTCAGTTTAAGGTGAAAATACCCGACCCGACCCGAAAAAGAAATAATTTTAACTTATATATTTAGGAATAATTATAATAATACACTTCTATATATTATTTTTTTTAAAATTAAATCACTGTTTTTATTGAATAAAAACAATTTTTTTATTATTTCGGATCGAGTTCGGATTTTATCTCAAAAAATCGGATCGGGTTCAAGTCGAGTGAAGGATATATATTTTTTGAATCGGATAAAATTAGTAGAAAATCGACCCAAACCCGACCCATGTCCGTTCCTAATCATGTGTCAAATAGAGTTGAGTTTTTGGTCTACTCAAAATTTCCAACTGATTATAATATTTCCTCATTAAGTCATTCGACCTGATCCGAATTTAGAAAAACTCCACTCGATTTAAGATAAAAATCCATCTCGTATCCCACCTGACATACATACATACATTCTTATTTTTATTAGTAAATTATGGAGTTAATTAAAATATATAGATGGAGGGTATTACAACAATTATCTCTAAATATATAAAAGTCAGTTATATTATCACTTGTAGGTTAAGTCAGATATTTTCGTTCTAAACAAAATTTTTATTTAAAAAACAACTCTATAAGAATGGTTAGGTCAAGACTATCAAGTTCAGGCTAAATGTTCATCTCTATAAGTAATCCCTTTGTAGTAATTTCCATGGTTTCTATTTTTTATACGGTTTTGTCATTGGAATTTATGACGGCTTAGAATTAAGCTATCGGAGTAGTATTGTCTTAGTTTAGGTTTTAACCCATTTGACTTTATTCCTTCTCGTAGTTTGCTATCGTTGACTTCTGTGTATTATTCTCTTTGTGTTTCATCTTTTTAAATTTAATCGGGTCTTACGTTTCTGTCTATATGCAGAGATTTTTACGCAGATATTTATTTACAGGGATTACTTCCCATTACAGCCCCGCATATGAAGACTGCGTATGAAGACTGTTCAACTGTGTATTTATTATTTTATTTATTTATTTACACATGCATTGCATTTTATCTTTATTTTTAATTTTCTGACTGCCGGAGGTCTACCACGGAAGCTGTTCTCAACCTGGTATTGGGGACAGCCTACTACCCTACCTCCCCTTACCCCATTGCATATGAGAATAGGATTTTGTTGTTGTTGTTGTTTAAATCTTAATATTGTCACAAAAAAAATCACCCTCATAACATATCTTTATAATATTATATCTGAATTATTCAACTCAGGCCCGACCCAATACATGTGTCAGACGGGCCTTAGCCCAGGGCAGCATGTTTGAGGGGGACATCAGTTTTTTAGTGTTTATAGTGTGTATATATTTGGCCCAAAAAAAAATTAGTCCAAAATACTTGATAGGTCGATTAAAGGTGTAACCCCCTAGACCCAGCCTATGCGTTTCGACTAAGTCTAGTGGCTCACATTATGATTCTTTAAGACATTTTTTTTCCGAAACCGTTATTCAATCAATGTAAAATCACATTATAAATGACATGAAGTTATAATAAATCATACTATCAAAACCTAACTTGTAAATATAATACCAATAAGTAATAAATTAATTTAAAACATATCTTAAAAAT